GGACCTGGATATGGAGGTATGAAGGTCGAGCATTAGGGTTGTAGGTTAGGGGTAGTTGAGCATTTTTCTAGATAGTCTAGTAGAGTTTTGTCTACGTCTGTTACCGGTTGTTGTTCATCACACGATTTTTATTTTCAATATGTATTGTTTTTCAATTTTATTATTATTAATATACATATTGTCCTTCCACTTATTTATTGTCTCTTACGATGCTGATACTATTTGTCTAGTTTCTGTTATTGTTACTGCTCTTTTATCTCTGAGCCGAGGGTCTCCCGAAAATAGCCTCTCTACCCACGGGGTAGGGGTAAGGTCTGCGTACACTCTACCCTCCTCATACCCCACTAGTGGGATTACTATTGGGTTGATGTTGTTGTTGTTGAGTTATCCATGTAGTACGTGAGTTGTCCGTGCGGGTTATATTATTAACATGTGAGTTGTCTGTACATCACGTGAGTTGTCTGTGCAGCGTGTGGATACTGATCCAACCCCCTAGGGTCACACTCTCATGTTTCTCTCTTGATGATGTACACGTAGATATTGAGGTACACATACTCACATAGATGTTTCTTCTTGTGCTGTATGACCTGATTTCATTATTGTTCTATATTTGTTTAAATGATGAAACTGCACAGGTTATCGCTAGTATCATTTATAATTCATGCTTCTTTTACCTCACTGAGGTTAATTACGATACTTATTGAGTACATTGTGTCGGTTCTACTCATACTACACTCTGCACTTAATTATGCAGATCCAGGTGTGAGGACCAGTTATCAGCAATAGGCTTGCTTGTTGTACTGAGTTCGAGAGGCGAGGTAGAGCTACATCCTTGGTCATAGTTTTGACTTGTCTTTTCCTTACGTACTATTGTTACAGTTCAGAAAGTATTATTATTGTTCAGTTTCAGACTTGTATTCCGTTATATAGCTCATGACTCAGTATTTATCAGTTTCTGGGGGATTTACCTTGTATTGACAATACTTTATTAAATTGAGGTTTTAGACTAATGTTATTTCTGTAATTATTATTATTCTGGTTCTTTATCGTTATGTTCCGTCTTGCCTAGTTGGTGTGTTTAGGCGTCATCACGATGGGTTGGGATTTTGAGTCGTGACACTTGTAGACTAGAGTTTGGTTGTATGTAAAAGAACATGTTATAATCTCCTTTGGTAGAGTCACGAATGTGTGTAAAATGTCAATGTTTTTCTTTGTTGAATAGTTGTGCATGTTTTAGATTTCCAGTATCACTACTTAGAGGCCTCGTTGGCTCAAACTTTAGAATTGAGGAAGGATAAGAATGGACGTCGGTTCGCACGGGCCTTTGGGCGTCGTGTGTCAGTCGCACCTCCCAAGATTGGGGTGTGACACCGAAATTTGACAAAACTTAAAAATTTCGATAAACCATTCGAATACGAGTCCAACCATACTAATTTCATCCAATTCCGACTCCGTATCGATGTTCAAAACTTAATTATTCACTTTAGAAAAGTTTAGACAAAACCCCCCAATTTCTCTTTCAGATTCACTAAGTAAATTCCAAAATCGAAGATGGAATCATGTAATATAATCAAATTTGAGTAAAAAATACTTACTCCAATCCATGTGGTGAATATCCCCTCAAAAATCACCCAAATTCGAGCTCCTCAACTCAAAATGTGATAAAATAACAAAAACCTTCAAAAAAGTGTATTTTATAACACTACCCAGGTAAACCATTCGCGATCGTGGGACCAGCTTCGCGACCACGAAGAACAAATTTCACTGCCCACAGAAATACTCTTCGCGTTCGCGGCAAATACCTTGCGAACGTGACGCACTATGATGCCAAACCTACACGAACGCGGCAATGACCTTGCGAACGCGATGTTAACTCCACCAGCCCCCAGTTCCTCAATGCGAATGTGGTACCGCTGTTGCGAACACGTAGAACAACCCGTTCAAACTTGGCGAACAAACTCCTCATATCGCGACCGCGATGACTAAACCACCAGTGACCCCAAAACACTCTTCACAATCGTGATACACCTACACGATCATGATGACCAACAGCCCATCACCAGAAATCAGAGAAACTAGCAATGCCAATATGGGGAAAATGATCCGAAATCACCCCGGAACTTACCCGAGCCTCTCGGGACCTCGTTCGAATATACCAACAAGTTCTATAACATAATACAAACTTACTAAAGGCCTAAAATTACCCATAACAATATTAAAACCACGAAGTGCACCTCAAATCAAGCTTAATGAACTATTTCAAATTTCCAAACTTATGCCGAACAGGTCTAAACAACTTAGAATCAGCTCAAATTTTTCACACAAGTTCTAAATGACATAATGAACATATTCTAACTCCCAGAACCAAAATCCAAACCCGATAATATCGAAGTCAACTCCCGGTCAAACCTATCAACTTTCCAAACCTTCAAGTTGTTAACTTTCGCCAAATAGAACCGGAGCCTTATAAAAATACCCAAATGCAAATCCGAGCAAACACCCAAGTCCAAAATCACCATCCGGACCTACCAGAACTATCAAAACTTCGATACAGGGTCAAATATACAAAAGTCAAATTTAGTCAACTCTTCAAACTTAAAGCTTCCTATTTAAGAATCATTCTTCCAAATCAATTCCAAACAACTCAAAAACCAAAACCAAACATGCACGCAAGTCATAATACACCATACAAAACTATTTATGACCTCACACCGCCGAACTAAATGCATATACTCGAAACGATCGGTTCGGTCATTGCACCTTTAAATGTCATAGTCATTAGAGTATAATTCACCATGAAACAACTTTTCTATGCTGACCAATTGCCCTGAGCATTATTCATAGTTCTTGAGCTATTTGAGAACCAACCTTAATGTAAAATTTGTACTTGCGGAGGAAATAATAACATCATCAACATAAGCAAGGAGAGTGATTTTCGGTCCTTATCTTGACATAGATAATTATTTATGTCTTGTTTACTGTGAAGTAGATTGAGCATTCTTGAGAGAACCTTTTCCCCCAAGATAAATAAGGAAGGGGATAATGGATCCCCTGTCTCACCGCCCTAGTAGAGTGAAAGAACCCCTACCTAGATCCATTGATCATGATGTAATACCACAAATTAACTATTGATCTTCATATCAAGTCTGTCCATTATTCTACAAACCCAAATCTCCTCAGTGTTACCAGCAAGAAGTTTCAATTCATTCTGTCATAAGCTTTGACATGTCGAGTTTAAGGACTACATTCCATCATCTTCTCTTCCTTTTAATCCCATGTATGATCTCTTGAGCTAACAAAATTTTTTCGTTATCAACCTTCCATGAACAAACCCCCTTTGATTTTAGAGATGAGCTTCGGAAGGATATGGGCTAATCTGGAGCTCATAATCATAGACATGATCTTACAAGAATAATTACTTAGACTGATTGGCCTGAACTCAGAAAAACACGAAGGACTCTTTTACCCTAGGAATTATAAGTAAACATGTGCTAGTGTAAAACTTAGAAAGTCTAGAGCTACTGAAGAATGACTGTACCATAATAGTTAGGTCAAAATTTATAATTTCCAAGTAGCTTTAAAAGAATGCCCCTCCATATCCATCTGATCCAGGAGCACTGCTGGGATCCATGTAAAAAAATAGCTCTTTTAATTTTCTCTTCATCATGGATTGTTGTTAGAACATCATTATCTGCTTGAGTTACAATCTGGTTAAGGCACTGTGTAGGTGTTGAAGATGAGAAACTCCTTCTGTAAAAAAAAGCTTCTCAAAGTAGTTAATTGCTTCCCCTGCTCCAAGTAATCCAATCTCCATTCTAATTCTTGATTATGTATATAGTTAGTTTTCTCCTTTTCACCTTTCACCTTGATAATGTCATGAATTTTTTTCCTGTTAGAATCTTCCTCTTCATGTCATTTACCAGAGAGATAGATATTTCATATGACAAAGGGATAGATAACCTGATCTTCTCACTATAAAATTTAATGATCACAATGTTTAGAGAATTTGTCACCAATCGCTGATTTTGATCAAGTGTTGATTTTCTTTTGTTGCAACATAAATATCTCTTCATATATCTTATGACTAATCTTAATTTTCATATCGCCAAATTAAATTAGTTTTGACTATGGAGATTTCATGGACGGTCTAAGTGATAAATTAAAAAGAAACTTGTATGAGAAGTGCTATGACTACAAAATAGAATTAAAGACATGACGCAAGTAGAGCCGCAAAATCAAGTTCTACTTTGTTAACTTAATTATTATCTTTTTATTGCTTTTCTATGTTACCTTTTATATAGTCCAACTTCTATAAATGATAGGGTAGACATTCCATTAAAGTGATGATCATCTTCAAAATACGGTTCATACATATTTGTATGTTATTAAATTAGAATAAGTAAAAAAATTATATATATCTTATAAAAATTTGATTGTTCATCTTCGTAAGTTCATATGATAAAGATCCACATTGATAATGCATAAAAGCTTATACTTAATTATTATTTCATGTATATATCATTATCTAAAGTTTTATTTAATAATATTAATANCCAAAAAGAATAACCCTTTTCTAAATTTGGAAATAATTTAGTTTAAACTTTCTACTATACCCTTAATGAGAAGCTTTTATAACCATACAAATACCATGGACCCTTTTTGACTTGTTTAGGATCACAAATTCTAAAAGTCTTTATTTTTTCTTAAACTTTGTGCCTAGTCAAACACGTTCACGTAAATTAAAATGAAGAGAGTAACTCAATAAACACGTGCGGAGAGACTAATTTTTGTTAAAATCTTTTTAAAACAGAAGCAAAATTAAAAAAGTAGCCCCAAGAAAGGGCAATTTCAAGAAATCAGTGGGAGAAGGATTGCCTCCAAAACAACGTGCATATTTTCAGACGGCAAAATAGGATGAGACATATACGGGTGACGTGTCAGCAAAACAATGAAAAGGAAAAGAAAAAGAAAAGGTCTCCCCGGGGATGCTCCGTTAAAGTTGGCGTTTGTCTTTCTCCAACTCCCTTACGCTAATGCCTTTCTTCTTTGCTTGACTTTCGGTTTTCCGTTACCAAAATGTCCTCCCAATGCGACGTCGTTGTCACTTCCACTTCCCCTCATTTACACACCAAAAAAATAAGGCCAAATTGAATATTTTAAATTCAAAGCAAGTCTCTTCGTATGTATTATTTCTCGTTCATCGCTGCAGAAAAAAAGTAATATCTTCATTTTGATATCACGTATTTACCATTTCGTTTATTATGGGCTTGAATGTGATTGTCCCCAATGCAGGATAATTTGTGTTGTTGATCGCGAATGCGAACCTTATTCACGCCGAGACCATGACTAATCAAAATGCTGACGCTTCCAAGGTAATAATCATTTTTTCAATATTCCATTACTTGAATTTTTATGGATATTATGATTCTTCTTTGATTTGGGTTAACTCTTGGCTTTCACATTTTTCTGTTTTCAGGTACAAGTGGGTAGCCAGCCACCTGCACCACCTTGGGCGAATGACCAAGCACAGTTGCATTCTGGGAATAAGGTAACTCTGTTTACAACTCTTAATACATTTCCACTCTTTGTGCTTAACGGTTCATATACTAGAGAAGACTCTATTTTCTTGTTCTGGATTTTCTCGATCAAAGTGATTATAAGCATAATTAGTCCTTGCTACTCGTTCAGTCGTTCTTTGCGGCAAAAAAGATACTTAGCTTTTATTCTAGTGTTTGCATAAAGCCTAGTACATTTGATGGTAGCTCCCTTGCACAACAAAAAATGTAATGAGAGCAATCAGTGCATCTTCTAAGTTATTGTTCTATCATTATGTCACGGGCATTACTTTTTATGAAAGAAAGAATTTCTTTTATAAGTCTGTATCAATTAACCATAGGGAGAATTGCTGCTTTTGTATCGGGCCTAAATAGCTTTTACTTCACTTTATAATGTTCTTATTACTAGTATTCAACCACTGGTAGTAGAATTATAGTTGATATACCTTGTATGGATGACAACAACTGGATTCGTTGGATTTTTTTTTTTTTTTGATGAAGTTAAATTTATTGAAATAAAAATTCTCTTGGCAGGTTTACAAGAGTGGCCCTCTATTTTTGTCATCAAAAGGTCAGTCTTCCATCTTCTATGCTGAATTTTGGCATAAACTTAGGAAATGGTCTTGATCTCTCCTCTCTTCTTCTTGCGTCTAGCTTTTCCTTATGATTTAAAAGTCATATTCTTCATTTGTCTCTTGCTCTCTGACGCTAAAATGTTAAATGTTGTCTATATAGTTAAAATCTAAAACATATTATGGGGTTTGTCTCTTGNGCTTATGATTTAGAAGTCATATTCTTCATTTTCCTCTTGCTCTCTGATGCTAAAATGTTAAATGTTGTCTATATAGTTAAAATCTAAAACATATTATGGGGTTTGTCTCTTGGCATCCAATTGAGTTGGAGTTAGAATGCAAGGTGAAAGGGTGCTGTTGAGGGTTGTGGATAGTGGATAATTCCTATGTTTCAGCTCTATATCTGAAAGCTTCCGTAAGTATTCATATTTTTGAGAGACTAACACACTTTTATAGGATTTGAATACACATCTTTTTCTATAATTGGTTGANGAGAGACTAACACACTTATATAGCATTTGAATACGCATATTTTTCTATAATTGGTTAATATGGGCACTTTTCAAAGAGACATCGTATCTCTGTTTCTATTATTAAAAAATTGTAAAAGGGCAAAATATACCCTAGTACTATCAGAAAAGGTTTAAATTTACCCATCGTTATACTTTGAGTCCAAATATATCCTGTCGTTATATTATTGGTTCAAATATACCCCTTTTCCGTTAAAGTTTGTCCAAAGTGGACATTCAATCATATGTGGCACTGACATTTGATGAGGTGGATGCCATATGGCTTGCCACCTTAGTGCCCCTAACTATTTTTTCCCTCCCTTCTATTTTTTTTCCACCACTAAAATTTTCTTTCCCTCCAGCACTATTGTCACCATTACCGCTACCATAAAAAATATTGTATTTCAAATTGTAGTCTTTTATATATGGATTATGGACGTTGAAGTGGCATGCCATGTGGCAATAGTGTCACGTAGGATTGGATGTCTAACTTGGACAAATTTAACAAAAGAGGGGCAGAAGAGGGGTATATTTGAACCAATAGTACTACTGGTATATTTAGACCCAAAATATAACGAAGGGTATATTTAAACCTTTTCTCATAGTACATGGGTATATTTGGCCCTTTGCCGTTAAACAAATTAAGAAAAAAAGATGGATTGAACCCAGTGCTGCAAACTAAATGGAGTCCGTAAAAATGGGGCAATAGATGAAGAAGGAAAATTTAGAGGGTTAATGATCTCTGTCTTAAATATATGGACTTCTGAATTTGCTTGCTTTACAGCCTTCACTTTGTTTTATTGCTTGTGAGGTGCACGATCTACTCTTGGCTGCACAAATAACACGGTCTTGCTACCTTTTTATTTGACACAACCTACTATGGTGACCCATAATAACGCTTTCAGTCAAGTTTCATCAACAAAAGGTGAAAATAAAAGAAAAAGGAACCATGATAAGTTCAGTTTCTGTTGTTCTTCCTTGAGAACCAAAAGAAAGCATCTTCCACAAGAAGGTCTTTGTATTTAAAGGCATACTTGAAGTCTACCCTCTTGTAGTAATAGTTTTGAGTGATATATTTGTTGACAACAAGAAATGGTAGTGCCATATATATCATTTATTTTGATATATATTATTTTGATTTATCTACAGATACGTTCAGCTGTATATCATTTAATGCAGATTCCTCTTTTACTTTTGAGGATGGCGTCTCAGTTCTTTTCTCATTAGCTAAAATATCATTGTTATTTTATTTTTCTGCATGCGGTCTTATTAAATATCTTTGGACTATAAAACCTTCGTTTTCATTGTTTTTATATTTCCACATTTCTTTTTTCTTTATTGACAAGCAAAGTATTTATATTTCATTAAGTTGTATTTCTAGATAGATAGCTGCTTTTGTGTTTCCTGTCTTATGCTTTCTTTTGTTCTATATGATTTAAAGTCTTGTATCACATTGTTTCAAGGGAGTACTTTGTAATGTTTATGCTTAAAATATGTGTCACGAGGTTCATGTGAATGTATATTTGATAATTAGGTTTATGTGAACATTGACAAATGTTTTATATTTTTATTAGAAAGCAAGAAAAGTAAGAGAGATTTTTCATTATCATAAAATTAGATGTTTCTGATTTCTTTTGCAATAGGAATTGGTTGGACATCATGGAAGAAGAGGTGGTTCACTCTAACAGAAAACTCGTTGGTCTTTTATAGAAGTGATCCAGTGAGTTTCCTCTCTTACAACTGTACCATGATTGCTTGTTACCACTATGCTCCAGACTCTGTTGGTTACTAGCTTACTTTGCACGTATAAGGCATTACCCATTTGTAATCCACACCATAATTGTTCTAGTAAGTTTTCTGGATCACTTCTTTTATACCAATTCATTGTGGGAAGGAATCTGAATTTGAACTCTTTATATGTATATATTACATGGGTTAATAGTTAGAAAATTATTAGTATGGGGTTGTTTCCCTGTATGAAGCTATATAGAAGGTTCATAAAGACAAAATATTCCAAAAAAAATAAAAAAGAAAAACTAAAAAGGAAAAAAGAAAAGTAGCAAAGTGAATTGGACGGCTAGGTTTGTAATTCTTTAGGCACCAGAACAACTACAAATAATCTGATTAAACCTGAATATCGAGTTTTGCTTACTCTGTGTGGTTTGCAGGCTATTACATAGGGGGAGGTTTACCCAGTGCGCACCAAGTGTAGCGGCTGCGGGTTTCCCTCTTATCAAAAAAATATCGAGTTTTGCCAATTTGAAGTTCTTCCTTTTTCTGTCTCCTATATGCACAACTGGCCCACCAGAAGCAAATTGGTTATTGTCTGTCAAAGATTTACCTTCTACATGTCCCATATACTCCTATACTCCTAGTTGTTCAGGAAATATTCAAACAGATGGCAGTTATTAACTTGTTATCATATAAGCCAAAAAAAAAAATGCAATCTTTGTTGTCTTTTAAAAGATTCTTACACTAGTGTATTATGCCATTTTGGTTCTGATGTTCTTACTTACATTTTTTGTTTGAAAAACTTGCTCTGTCATAATCACGACATATTGCTATTGAGTGCACAGAAATGCAACCTTTCTTTACTTCTGCATCGAGATTTCCCCAATTTAGTTGATTCCTACTACCAAATTATGAGAAAGTTCAGGCAGTGCCAGCCCTCTATTTGGTCAACATTACCATTTGACTTCTGTTGCTGATGGCTAATATGTTATGATGCAATCGATGAGTAAAAACTTTTTGGTGCTTAGAGTGAGAACCATGATTCTTGTACTAGTGATGTTGCCATGGCCTGAAAGCATCTTCTATCTCCACTGGTGGTATCTATCTTAGCTAAAACTTTGTGTTAATTATACAATCGTTACTCTTTATATCTTCTATCTGAGAATGAGGTCTTGACCTGCTCTAATATCCATGTTGTTTTTAGCGAGTTAATTTGGTCAAAGATTGGAAAAATATATGATCTAGAAGTTTAACACATAATCTGCCACACTTGATAATGAAATCTGTATGCCTGCTAAGAAGATTGAACAAGCAGCCTCTATATGAACTAGTGAAGTTTGTATCTCATTTTAAAGAGTATATGGTTACGGTGCAATAGCTTTTCCCTTCTTTTTTTGTTACATCATTTTTTCTTTAATGTGGGATCTGACAAGTGTGTTCTTTTCAACCTATGTCAAAGGTAGGTAAGCCGGTTTCTATTACTATATTTTAAGGATGCTGCCAGGTAGAAGAAATTCCTTCTCCCGAGTCTTCTTCTTTTTAATTTGTCATGTAATTTATATGGGTCTTCCAAGCTTCAGAGTAATCCAGCTAACCTACTATTGTACTGTTTACCTAAGAGCTGATTCCCCATTGAATGTTTATTGATCACCTTTCCTCTTCTTGAGAAGATATCACAGTCCAAGGGCTTAATGTGAATAATCGAGTAGTTAAATGGTTTCAGAAATGCCTCACTTGCAATTTAATTATGTAAAATCCTCCGAAATTTTCTAGGTTCATTTAAAGAACAAAAAGTTAAAATTGAGCTTATAAATGCTTTGCCTCATATAGTTTCTTGACATGGGGTTAAACTAATATAGAAATCTACAGTTGATTTGCCTCATTCAGGCCTAAAGTTTGCCATTTACTCATGAAAATCCCCATTGGCTACACAAAATCACAGAGACCAGATTCTTGATACATTTGTATTACTCTGTTCAATTTCTTGCTTCGACTTTGTAGTAGTATCAGTTGTTCCACAAATCCTATTTGTTAGTGTTCATCTTACGCACCAAAATGCAATATCTTCACTGGTGAAAAATTTGTTGATTTATTAGAAATTATTCTGTGTTACTTCATCTCTTTGGCTGATTCTTTTCAGAATGCTGCTCCGCAAAAGGGAGGCGAAGTGAATTTAACCCTTGGAGGTATTGATCTCAACAGTTCAGGCAGGTTGGCTTATTATTTCTTGCTATGATTCATATAGTTACTAGTGTGGCTTTCTTTTGTCAAGTAACACCAGAGTGGTAAATGGTGCTATTTTTCCTCTGATTTTCAGCGTTGTTGTCAAAGAAGATAAAAAGCTGTTGACTATGCTCTTTCCTGATGGCCGTGATGGACGATCTGTCACACTTAAGGTGCCAATATTTTTGGTTGCTTCTTTTTAGCTTTATTAATGTTTTCATATTCCTGTTAAACTTTGATATTCGTTCTTTCATGCTGATTATACATGCAAATAGAATTTGCTCTATTTGCATTGATTTGCGGTCTAGGAAGGGAAAGGAAAGACAGAAAACATGCGCTTACGCACTTGCCATTCATGTGTGCTTTCGGTCCAGATTTGCGGTGGTACTTCCCATTCTCGTTCTTGACTTTTAGCTGCATTACTATTTAGGGTGTTAAATTTAGTCCACAAAAGTGGGCAAGCCTAAGGAGGGGTAGAGGTGGATCGAGGAAGAATTGGGGAGAGGTGAGGTCCAGCTCACCGAGGACATGACCCTAGATAGGAGAGAATAGAGGTCGAGGATTAGTGTAGAAGGTTAGTAGGTAGTCGAGCGATTTCTCTCTTTTCTGTGGGAGATCATGGTTCTAGTTTAGAGCACTTAATCTGGTCCCTCTTCTCTTTATCAATATTTTTGTTATTATTCTATTATTATATTATTATATTATTCTCCAAATTTATTACTATTATTGTTTCTTTTACTTTGGTTATCTTTACTATTTTGCTGTCAATACTTTTTTACCCATATATTTTTTTAACCTGTTCCAAAAATATTTTTCTTGAGCCGAGAGTCTAATGAAAACAGCCTCTCTACCTCTCACAAGTTAGGGGTAAGGTTTGCATACACCCTACTATATGAGGTGAAATTGGTTAGCGACAGTTGGATGAATGACAAGGTGACACGTGTAACTGGAGACCGGTAATATGTGAGTTATCTAATAGTTGACATCGGATACAAACATGAGTTCGGTACTGTGTAAATTTCGAAGGCATGGGAACCAATAACAAAGATTTGAAAGGAAGATATCGGTTGAGAAAGACAGCATTCAATGAGCAGCCGTTACAAAGAATCTCTGTATTAATAGCCAACTGTTATGCAGCCATCAATGGCGGTTTTATTCTCATTCAAGAGGAGCTTGATTTGGGGATCTTGTCTCCCTAAATAAAGCTATAAATCGGAGAATTAGTATCCATTGTAAGGCACGAAAAATCATCTATACTCAAAGACTGTAACTTGCTATCATTTTATAAAAATACATGCTTTCTTTTGTTCCTAACATTGTTCTTATTATCGTTTCCGAAGAGGTTCGTCATACAACCAGGCTTGTATTTCCTTTAAGTGGTTTTGTAATCTTATTTTTGTTCTTACTTATTTCATATTTCTGGATCAAATTAATTCACGTGTCTATAAACCACGTTACAAATTCAACTGTATCGTTTTACGGGTAAACAGTTTGGCGCCATGACCCTTTTGAGCGTTTCTTCCATTTTGGCTCTCTTCTCCTTGGTGGCATTAGACTCTTCGGTTTTCAAGCGTAAGTCTGCTTCCTAGTTGTTGATTTGCTCCATAAAAGCAGACTCACGCTCGGCCGCAGCAGTGATAGCGTCATGCAGTTCAACCCACTTGGCCTTTGCCTCCTTATGATCTTCTTGTAATTGAGAGGCTTCTTTGTTGTGGGCCATTCTATGTTGATCGGATTGCTCTAATCGAGCTTCGAGCTCGCCTATTTAAGCAACTTTTGCTTCTAACACCGGGAGGAGCTCGGCAAGTTGATTCAGTTCGGCCAAAAATTGATTTCGTTCCGTAGTTAGTTCCTCTTTATCCAAAATCAACTTTTGCAGGCTCTCGGAAGCAATGAGGTTACTCTAAAGAGGTTAAAGCTAAGGTTATTAAGGCAAAGTCTAACAAATAAAAAGGGAAGAGAAGAAGGTTAGATTGATACCTGAGCCGAATAGTGCATGCTGTTGTTTATGAGACACTCAGCAGAAAGAGAGTCCTTTTTCTCCGATCTTTTTCTGTGGCTAACGACTTCAGGTAGTTGGCAACCTCCACCGGCTTGGAAAGTATGTGGTACTCATTCGAAACTGTGAGAATGATACTCCGTTTTCCATTTGTTTTGAGTGTGTCGGGTAAGTGTTCCCCAAATTTTCATGGTCAGATGACTGTGGGGAAAGAACGTCTTCTACCTGTTCGGATGGGGCCGGTGGAGAGGTGGCAGCTGGTGTAGAAGGTGTTGCCGTAGCAACTGGCTCAGAAGTTGAAGGAGGAGGTACCTCAGGGGTAGAGCCCCTCTAAACGGAAACGTCAACAAGAGCCCGAAAGCGAGACTCAGCATTTTCAACGATTTCCATACCCGTGAAGAGTCCTTGAACTTCTTCCGGGAGTGGCATTTGAAGCTCTCTCGGCTGAGCATCCGGTTGAGCTGATGAAGATCTTTTTCTTCTTTGAAGAGGAGCCGCTTCATCATCGGTTCCTTCATCATCAAGGACCACTGTGACTGGTCCGGTTGGTACTTCTATCAAAAGGTGATCCTGCCCAATCAGCATCTGTGTACCCAACAATCTGCTCGTGGCCTCGATCCTCGAATAGTAATCCTTTGCCTGGAGCTGACTTTATATACCGAAGAATGCGAACAACTTCATCCCAGTGACTATCATAGGGAGAATCCATAAACTGACTTACAACACTNTCTGTAGACTTAGGGATAGAAACAATGGACAAAGAAGATATAAAGGCATAATGAGGTGACGACAGACGATGATAACTTAAACCGACATA